CATGGATATGCCTACAAATGTCATACTCCAAAAGGGATGAAAGAAACTTCATGATGTAATAAATTTTAACTTAGATAGTGTAGAACTTCCTCTCAAATACCAGGGTGCTCTCAAGCGTACAGAAGAAAGGAAAAGGGAAGATCTTCTTGATTATGTACCCATGCCTCACAAGTGTGCTTTACAAGATGTTAGAGGAGGAATTAGCACAACTGAAGTCAAAGAAACTGTAGACGAAAATCAAATTGACTTTAATTGAAGCATTATTTGTGAATTTTGCAAATTATTTTATTTCTATTAGCTTCCACATACTTTGGTAACAAAACTATGTTTATTTCTGTAGAATAAAAAATATTAAACACCTTTTCTTTTCATTTTATAAAAATCTTAACGATATAGTTGTATAAAATTAGCCACAATTGGTTGTAATGATAAATTACATTTAAAAAAAACTTCTTAAAAAAATGTAACTATCATTACAGCCAATTGTTGCTAAATCCCATAATATACCTTTACCAAACATGCCTCAAATATATAGCTACAGAACTTATCCTCTTTTAAGTTTTGTCAATAAAATAAAACTTGTTTGTCCTTACTATTCTAACATGTTTTTAAACTTTATACTCAGTTTTCCAGAAACATGTTTTTGCAGTTCTCCTTTACGCTTGCAAGCTCCTGAAATCTAATTACATATTCTTTTAATTTTAAAACGTAGACACTTGAAAAAAATGTGTGTAATATTGTTTCTACATGTATATTTTAAACTACAAGGAAACATTCAAAAACCTGTAAAAGATTAAAAACTAGCAGAGCATAGACAAAAAATATAGAAATTGTGGGACAATTCTGAGACAAGCTGTTCCAAATTTATTTTAAATCATTATATTTATAGAACACACGAAAACAGCAAAAAGCTAGAAATACAATAACATGTAGCAAATTCTATTCATGTTAAGGGCGTGGGAAAAGTTTCGATTTAGTATGGGGGATAGATTTATTTAAAGAGATGGAATACTAAATTATTACCATAAAAAAGGATGGTTTAACTGCAAATATTGGGTGACATCAGATTCCATTAGTCTTATCTAGGCATGCAAGGTTCTACCTAGAGTGACTGCTCATTCCCTATCTTTTCCTTTGACAAAAATGGATTAGGAACAAAGCTGTCTAAGTCATCCAGAAATTTTAGAACTGGATCCCATTACAGTCCACACTTCTGAAGAAGACCTACTGACAACTAGCACAATGAAGCTCAGCAAGGAAATGGTGTAAATACCTGCACAAAGCATACTTCAGGTCAGTGTAGAATGGTATCTTCTTCTGTCATTACCATCTCTATTACTGAAGATTAGATACAATGTTGGTAAATCGTTCTGTTTTGCCATTTTTAGGTCAGGTATTGTTTTTTCACTCCCTTTACTGTAATTGTAAAAGGGGCTGAAAGACCCCTTTATGGACAATGTAGAGGATGAGTAAGCTTGTTATATGCGATTAAGCTTGTACGCTGCTCACGAAAGCTACAGAAAAAATATAATTATGGGGCATAAGTATAGCCAAAAATAAAAGACAGTAGAAGTCACTAAACAAAATTACAGATTGTGTGGTATCTCTTAATAACTCAAATGAGTCTTTGAAATACCTGAATAGTAAAATTGTGATTCTTATGTTACAAGTATGGTGATGAATGAGTATATGGCATAAGTGCATTATATTGAGACAAAATTATTGGTTTAATTAGTTTGTTAACAGATTTTTATTCCAATCATAATCATGTGTATCATACTCTTAATACTAAACTTACCTTCCATAAATAACTCAAATATTTCCTGCTTCAGCAACCCACTTTCATAAATCTGCTTCCTGTGTTGATTGTCTTAAAAGCTCTACTTTAAGCCTCTGATAGTGATTGTCCTCATTCACTTCATTCTTTATCTTTGGATGTCATGATTTATTTTTCACTGGTAAATGGTTCAATAAAAGCATTAGATAACTTCTAGCATTGGAATAAGAATTGCAAAAACCAGAAAACGTTTTTGATATATATATAAAGTTAAGGCTGCAGATATGAACTGAACAGAAATGCATAACAAACCAAGATAAAAAATTAATGAAAGGTAACTTCATTCTTGGGTTATTTATACAATCTATTTTCTGATGGTTATTTATTGGATAAAATACAAGTAGAATAGCATTTGATAACTTACTCGTTACTAATTCCATATGCCTGCAGCCTATAATATATGGATACAAAACAAAACACACAGAGACTATACTTGTTTTGTCATAGTAATAATTCCTAAATTTATTTCATTTGAAGAAATGTTAAAAAATAGAAATTAGTTAATGCATGGAAAAAATACTACAGAATAAAAAGAAACAAAGGGTGGAGAAATTGAAAAATGAAAGATAAAAATGAAAAACGTCCAGTCAACATGTTGTAAGTAACCTTTGAAAATTTCTTGTGACAGTATGATAATTAGTAATAGCATACATTCATCCTTTATCAACTTTTGTAACTTTGAGTATAATTGGCTGAATTTTTTATAAGCTGGAATCAAATTGACTTTGATTTACTAATAATGTGGTATTCACAGTGAATGGATATTCGCCACTATCTTCAACTGTTTCTTCACATGTGTTTGTCTTTTAACTTTGTGTAATTTTAACTGTTTGCATCTAAGGCCCAATAACTGATTGCAAACCATCACACAGGAATTTTCTGTCGTTTGGAATGGAATATACCAATAGACTATTATGGTCCATACAGAATATTAAATCTTTAGTTTTGTACTATTTCTATATCCTGTTACCACTTTTTGACCAATATTGAAAGTTAAAAGTGATAAGTAATAAGGGAAGTATGCAAATGGTTCTGCATGACCAGTCTCTAGATGGTACATTTATTCTATGGACATTTTTCTGGATTAAGGAACAACTATTGGCATCCATCTCAATGAATACTGAATATTTGGTATTGGAGTTTCTATAGCTGTTTGGTGGAAGAAAGGCAAGAACATCAACTATGACCCTCTCGACTCTTTGGATGGGAAAATCTTTCTAGATGCTGTTTGATCTGAACTGGGTAACAACTGTTAACATCCATTATCACCAGTTTTGAATACTGAATGGAATATTTTCTGTATTTATTCTGGATGGGTAACAGCTGTTAACATTTGTTGGCCTCACTGAATATTGGACTTTGGGCCTGGGATGGCACATCATGGTCTGACGAAAGGTAATTCCTTTCTATATGCTGTTTGGCTGGGATAGACTATGGTAACCTCAGCTTGGTCTAGGATAGGATGCCACTGTCTGACAAGAAATAATTTCTTTCTGTTTAATATTTGGTATGGGATAGGTAACTGACTGTGAACATCTCTAATGACCCTCAAGGAATACTCAATCTTTGGTCCAGGATAGGAAACCAACTATTGACCTCTTAATGATACACATACTGAAACAAAATTATTTCAGTTAGAGAAGCATTAACAATTTGTATTAAAAAAAACTAAACCAGACAAAAATTTAAAAAAAAATAGATATTAGATATATACTAAACTATTTATTATTAAAATTTATATTAAATAAATTATGCTTCACTTAGTTAATAGTTTGCGTGATCTAAATGTTTAACCTATCCCACATGTTTTGATTAAAGATTATTTTATCTTATTTTAAATTAAAACAAAAATCATTGAAAAAGGTAAACATACTTAAATTTTTAAGTGTGATTGGTCATCGATTTTTGTCTGCAACATGCAAATAATAGAAAGATTATTTGAGAATATATTTACAGAACCAAATCGAATATGAAAAAGAATCGGGAACATATGGAATTATAGAAAATGTATTTTTAAATGCAAAAGATATACAGTTGAACATAATTTGTTTCAAAATAAAAACTACTATAGTATTCTTTTCCAGAATACTATTGGATTATTATGGTAATATAGCTATTTCAGGAAGCCACCCAGTCTACCAAATAACAGTGAGGTAGGAAATATGTTTGGAAATTATAGAAAACTGTATAGTAAATATGTAAAGATAGTTGTAGTGATTATAGTTTTACTTTAAAATAAAAAATAATACATTGAAAATATTACAATACCAAAACCCACTTAGCTACTCAAAATTGAGTGTACATAATTTTGAGAAAACTCTTTAGTCTTTATACTTAGTAATTTATTTCAAGCATAAACTTACAATTGGAGTTAATATTTAAAAAACGTATGGAAAATCTACAATTAAGACTCTTACAGTAAAATAAAGTATCAAACCTACAAGTTGAAATGTGTGAACAAATAACTTTTTTTTCATTTTTTTAAACATGGAAGTTAGTTTGTTAGAAGGTAATTAATATCTCACAAACAATTTCAGGGATTACGGCAAATTTTAACAAAACAAAAGATGGAAAAAGAAAATGTTTTAGTGTCAGAATAATCATCAAATACAATATCCGGTAAAAGCTAAGCAATAGTAAAAAATGATTAACAAGGTAAGTTTATAAATGAACTATGTGGACAAAAATAATTCCACAGAAAATACAGAACTCTTTGCGAACTGATGGAAATTTATTGATGAACATTTAAATGTTAGAATTTAGAAGCAAACTGGTTAAAAAAATATTTGGTTTTGAAATGATTTTCTTACTATTAGTGCCAAACTTTTACCAAATAATGTAGTTTCTAATTGTATTTGAAATTACCTGAATGTATGAATATTAAAACAATCTTAATTATTATGATTAAAATAAAAAAAATTGAAAATGAGATCTAATCTTGGTACTACTACATTCCCTGTACTAAATAAAGGCAAATTTCATTATTTCAGTTTAATAAAGACACCTACAATAACAAAAGTTTAGGAAAATAAAATGAATGTCCACACGATACCAAACATATTTATGATAAACCAAATGATACAAGTTAGATTATGTTTATGTTATTAAACTTAAAGGTACTGTTTACACAACATACATTGTGAAAATCAATGGAACGACTTCTTTAAATTCTGTCTTCAGATCTAGAATTTGACCTCCTCTTATTATCTTTGGAATGTGATCTAGATCTTGACTTAGAATGGCTCTTATTACGGCTGGCACTTCTTGACTTGGAGCGACGTCTTGACCGTGATCGGCTGCGGCTTACAGATCTGTTGTTTCTTCGTCCACCTCTTCTATCTTCGAAAACTCTAATTCTGCGGCCATTAATCTCAGTATCATCCAGCTTTTCAATAGCATTTTTCATATCGCTGTATGAAACAAATTCGACGACTCCCTCATTTGGAACTAGTTTATGAGCATCAGCAAATGTTACCTCACCGGCTTTACGCATGTAATCCTTCAAATCTTGCCAGCTACAACGACTAGACAAGTTTTCAACAATAACTCTGTATTCTGTACGAGTCGGGGGGCCATACTTGTCACGAGCTCTAGAATTATCGTTTCTACCGCGTGGACCGCCATAACCTCTATCTCGACCGCTTCCCCGCCACTGATCACTTCCGCGGGGCGTACCACGGGCTCTTTCTACAGTAATTCTTTCCCCCATTAACTCCTTACCGTTTAGCTCATAGCAAGCGTCGTCGGCGTCTCTGTGATCGTCGAATTCCACAAACGCGTAACCATTTTTCATGGAAACCTCCTTGATTCTTCCATACTTTCTGAAGAACTTTTCTAAATCACGCTCACGAATTTTATAAGTAAGACCACCCACAAACACTCGGGTTGCCATTTTAACGCGACAAATGGCAAAATTACACAAATAATTGGAGAAATTCAACAAACAGTTATTTTCGTCACGATCTCTTCGGGAAAAGGACGCGAGAATGACAATTGACAATTGTTGTAGCTTTGGCGCCCGGCTTTTACGTATATTGAAATGACAGTCACTTTTATTTTGTCATAAAACATGTACGCCACCGGAAGTTTGCACCACGTGATCATTACAAACCAATAAACGAAAGGTTCCAAAAATTCACCCAATGAATCATCGCTTTTGAAATCACAAGGTTTATATAATGGGATGAAAATTAATATTCACAAAGTCCAGGGAAATTTAAATTTAGACATTTGCATTGAGACATATGTTTCTACTATTATATTATTTATCTATGGACATATGTATCATTTCTAGAAAAGTCAATATTAGTAAAAGTATATTCGGTAATTAATTACAAACAATAATAATTTTTTTTAGAGAAAATCATTGTATTATGTGAGAAGTAGAGATCGTTTTGAGCGTTTAACCTTAATATTAAATACATTTAAATCATTTTCTCCTTTATTGATAATCTAACTAGAATATGAATGATTAAAGATTGTATTGAAATTTTTAACATAAATAACTTTTTCCTTTGTTATATCTAACTAGAATATTATAGAGTGATTACAGATTATATTGAAATTTACAACTTAAATATATTGTTGATGATAAATTCTTTAAAAATTAAAAATTATATAGGTAAATAATTTTTGCTGGTAATTCAAAGGTAAATTACCATAAAAGTTAAACAAATAAAAAATATGATATTTTTGTATATGTAGGTATTACAGATCTCAGATCAGGTTTATGAAATGTATGTTCGGAAATATGCAACACATTTTGCATCTTAACACATTAAGATAGGCAACACCCTAACCCTTGTCAAATCACAATACAAATTGTCACAAATCACAAATGAAAAATAAGTGGTGAGGTTACTTGGTTGAGGTTTACCTGGTTTTACCAACTCGATGGGTTTACCGTTTTAATAAGGGAAGAAGAAGAAGAAGAGATCGAGGTTAATAAATATAAATACAGTTTGCAAACAACCAAGTTTACTTTATATAGTTAAAAAATATAAATATTTTAAAGAGAGTAAAATGGAAAATAAGATGAGTGCTTCTGAAGAAGAGAATTCAAGTTCTTCGGATTCATGTATTGAAGATGATGATATAGAAAAAGTAAATATTATACAAATACTTTTAAGGTTGTTTAATTTAGAGTGCTTTTAGGATTTACTCAGGCAAGCTGAAATGCTGGAAAGTCAGTTATCAACCAACAAATACTTGTATGATGTTCATATCGAAGTAATTAACATATATAGAAAACTGTCTGATTTAAATTCCATGAGAGAAGCTTATCAGAGGTTTCGGGAATGCTTTCCATTAACTCCGAAAATATGGTTGGAGTGGATTAAAGATGAGATAAAAATTGCCAGCACACAAGAAGAACAAGAGAAAATATTTAGCCTTTTTGATGCAGCTGTAGATGATTACCTCTGTTGAGTATTATTTAATTAGTTCTATTTTCATGTAGGGAAACAAAACATACTTCTGTGACAAGTATAATAACATCAATTGCTTGGTTATTAATGATCTTTAAGATGTGCGTTTTGATTTCCTCTATATACATTTTTTGCAGAAATTGATATAAATTTTAGGTTTCTAGAGGTCCTACCCTCTTAATACACTAGTAGGGAACATTTTTCACACCTTATTTTTTTTTAATCTTATGGAACAACACCACCTAATTAGTAAAGTCTTATTTTAGGTTTAGGCTTTCAAATTAAATATATAAAATAGCTTTCAGAAACATCTGAATAGGATTAACATCAAGTTATCCTACTGGTGTCCAAGCTAAAAATTGCTGGTGTCCAGGGAACATTGTTAGAATGGTTAGTTAGTTATCTGCCTGAAAGATTTCAAACTGTAAAAGCAAATAATGTTCTGTCTAAAAAAATTTCCAATTCCCCTTGAGTTCCACAGGGATCCCACTTGAGAGCTTTGCTATTTGTACTATTTATCAATGATATTTCAGAGTGCTTCAAGTTTGATAAATTTTTATGTTTTGAAGATGTAAAATGGTAACTCTCAATATCATCTCTGAGGACTGTCTTAAATTTCAGGCAGACCTGGCCAGACTGGATGAATGTTGTAAGATCAATGATATGAATCTTAATATTTCTAAGTGTCTCTGCAATGGCGCTACAGCCCAAATCGGGCCTTGGCCTCCTCTAAACTTGTCGATCCCGCACCGATCTTTTATATGTTCTCACATCTATTCTTACTACATGACTAGCCCAGCGAAGTCTCTGAAGTTTAACGATTTCTGAGATCAGTGTGTCTTTCAACAGTTGGTATAGTTCATGGTTGTACCTGGATCTCCATATTCCGTTTTCGTTAGGTCCAAATATTTTTCTTATAACTTTTTGTCTCTTCTGTCATCACCCATGTCTCGCATGCATATAACATACTATTGGTCTGATAATAGATTTGTAGGCCCTGATTTTGGATCTCTGGTGTGTGTTTTTGGAGCGGAACACATGATTGTGTGAAAAATAAGCTTTGTTTCCCTTTACTATTATTCTTTGGATTTCTGGTTCTACTGTTCCATCCATGTTTAATGCAACTCCTAAATATGTGAAACTTTCTACCGTTTTAATATCATTCTCTAATTCAACTGTGCGTCTGTTTCCCCTAGCTCTTGCCTGTGTTAACTTATTTGTCTTTTGAATATTTATTTCTAGTCTGGTCTCTTTTGCCTTTGTTTTTAATTGTGAATATATTTCTACCGCCTCTTCTGTTCTGCGAGACATGATGCTGATATCATTGGCATAGGCGGCAATCTGTATTGATTTATTTGTTAGGAGATTACCTATTCCTATATTCAGCTGTCTTATATATATTCATATATTCCAAGGTCAGGTTGAATAGTGTCAGTGCCAGCCCATCTCCTTGCTTTAATCCTTGGACTATTGTAAAGTTTTCAGTGAGCTCAATTTGGATTCTGACAGTTCCTATTGACGAATCCATTGTTGTTTTTACCAGTTATATATTTTTGGGGGATATTAAAGCTCTGCAATATTTGATATAACTTCATATTAATTGAGTCGTAGGCTTGTTTGAAATCTATGAATATATCGTGGATGTCAATGTCATATTCCCACCATTTGTTTAAAATTTGTTTCACTGTGAATTGTCAGTTGTAGATCTTCCTTGTCGGAAACCAGTTTGATATTCCTCGACAATATTTTCAGTTAGTTGTTGGAGTTGTTTGTTTAGTATGTAAGTAAAAATTTTGTATGCCGTGCACAAGAGGGTTATACCGCGATAATTTTCGCATTTCAGTTTATCCTCTTTTTTATAGTTTGGGCATATAATCCCGGTTTTCCAATCATTAGGGATCTTTTCATCATTCCAAATCTTGTTCATGAGCATATGCATATGTCCTACTAGGTGATCGCCACCTAATTTATATAGCGCAGGGGGGACATTGTCAATACCTGGAGCCTTATTGTTCTTTTGTGCTTGTATTGCCTGTTTTACCTCTTCCATCATTGGGGGTTCTATATTTTCGGTGTCTCCCTCATTGTGATGCATGTCCATATGCTCTTCATTTTCTTGTGTCCCTAAAAGAGTTTGGAAATAGGTTTTCCAGACTAATTTCTAAGTGTCACTTCCATAATATTTACAAAGAAACTAAACAAAATTGATTCTAAATGCAGAATATTGGGTTCACAGTTGTCCCAAGTCATATTGAGATCTTGCTGTTATTATGGACTCCACACAGGAGAGTGGACAGATCTAGAGGATCCAACATTTTTAGTCTTCTAAGTAGTGGTGGCGTCAGGATGTTGTTGGCGAGGAGATTTGGATGAGCTGATAGTCTCAAAGTAGTTTTTATGCTGAGTGGAGGTTGCTTTTCTAACAGTTTCAACATTCAGGTCATGATGAATAACATGATTTGGCACATGCCATGGGGCATTGCAGATATCACAAAGGACTTTGGATTGAAATCTTTGTAGTCTTTGCAAATTTGTATTACTGGCAGTTCCCCAGATTTGAATCCCGTACATCCATACTGGTCGTAGTATTGTCTTATAGAGAAGTTTGTTTTGGGTACTTGAACCTCATTTCTGATTCATAAACCAGTACATCTTTTTATAAAGCATGCCCAGTTGCAGTCGTTTGGTATATGTTTTCCCCAATTTAGGTGATTGTCTATGTGGATACCCAGATATTTGACATCATTATTGGCAGGTAGTAATTTTCAGTTTATAGATACCTGAGCTCTGTTTAATGTGAAGGTGATGTGATCTGATTTAGTATTATTTACTTTGACACGCCATAGTTTTAACAAATTTTCTAATTGGTTTAAATAGTTTTGCAAATTTCTGGATGCTAATCTTGGATTCACATGAGTGGTTATTATGACGGTATCATCTGCATATCATCATAATATTTGTGGTAGGGATGTCAGCTGTGTACAGTAAATATAGAGTTGGACCCATCACACTACCTTAACGAACTCCTCACGAGATCGGATATAGGGGAGTGCAAGCTTCGTCATGATTATTTAAGAATGATCTATCTGTTATATATGACTGTATAATTTTGACTATGGGATGAGGTAGCTGTGACTTGATTTTTGAAATTAGACCATCATGTTAGACCTTGTGAAATGGCTGGGAGACATCTAAGAAGCAGCTGTACTGTGGGACTTGTTCTTAAGGGCATCTCTAGCTGTTCTGCATACTCTATATATTTGCTCGACGGTACCATGTTTTTGCCTGAAGCCAAATTGGTAGTTTGTTATTAAGTTATTTTCCAAGATAATAGGTTCGGTTCCAGCTACCATCATCTCTTCTTATAGGAGTCTTAGTTTGTTGTTGGGATTACAATTTCCTTGTCAGTTTCCGTAGTGAGTAAAAAATGTTTAAATACCAGCATCCTTGCCTCCTCCACTTTACGCTTAGCAATATTTTCCTTAGGTGTAGGCCAAAATAAAATTTTTTTGAACAGAGTTGCAATAGATTTATCCATAAAATTCTTGTCTAAATTCGAACTTGTCTCAGTATCTGAATGATTCATGGATGGCGGTGTAACTTGGGAAGTTTCCATTTGTTGAAGGTTTTGTTCCAAAGGTGGAGAAAGCTGCTGTAACGAGGATTTACCGGAGGAGAATGGATTATGAAATTCCATTTGTTGAAGATTTTGTTCCAAATGTGGAGAAAGCTGCTGTGACGAGGATTGACAGGAGGAGAATGGATTATGAAATTTCATTTGTTGAAGGTTTTGTTCCAAAGGTGGAGAAAGCTGCTGTGACGAGGATTGACCGGAGGAGAATGGATTACAAATTATGATAGGAATATCTTCAGCGACGCCTACCGGGAGAAATAAATTTGAGTCAATCAATTCTGTAACATCAACCTCATCGTCATTTGCTTTCTTAGCAAATGTGTTGTTCTCATTTTCTAAGTTATCATTGAATTCGTTATTTACAGTTCTTGGTCGCCCATTTCATTATGAATTTCCACTTCTGTAAATGAGTCATTCGTAACAAACTCGACTGGAAGTTCATTGGAAGGCTTGTTCATGGCTTTGACTTTCATTTCCCTCCATAATTAAAATAAGCTGGTGTGCTCTACTGGTCCTTTCCAAATTGACCCAGAAAGCTCAAACAATCACAGCATATTAATTGAGATGCATTCTTCTACAACTCTTAGGGTGACTTGAAATTCTGTAGGTTGTCGTTGTTCTTGTATCTTTTGATAGTTTTGTGCTCCCACGTCTTCTTTAAAGTATTTAGAAAATTTAATATTTTCAACATTAAAGGGCACAAGTTCGCAAACCTTGAAACCACTCTTAACTATATCGGGAATATATACCATTTTTTGAAAAGTGCTTTCCAAAATAGGTGCAAATGAATCTCTGGTTATCTTTTTACCTTGGTTTTGTTTTCCATTCTCCACCGATGCACGCTCTTTTTCTATTCACGTTTTAATGGTCGAAAGACTGCAACATCTAGAGGCTGTAAAATATGTGTTGCGTTTGGACACAGAGCTATTATAATAATATTATTACTACAAAATTCACTTAGGGCCATCGTTAAGTGTGATCTGTGTCCATCCAAAAACAGTATAACCGGAAACTGCACTTTTTGAGCAACTAACCAAGGGTGGAATATATTAGCGATGTACTCAAAAAAGTTTTCGCCAGTCATCCACCCATTTTCAGACTTTCCTATCCCCCAGTCAGCCGGTATTTTCTCGATAACTGATTTGGGAATTCTTGTATATTCAAAAACGATCATAGGTGGTAAAATTTGACCGGAGGCATTCCAGGTAACCAAAGTTGTCAGACATTCCTTCTCGTCGTTGCTAACAAACGAATAAACTGTTCTATCCCCCTTTCTAACCAACACTTTGTCTCCCTTAGGAGTCAGGAAAAAATCCGATTCATCACAATTAAATACACGACTAGGATCAAAAGTTATGTTGCGATTGTTTGTACTTTCTAAAAAGGTCCCTACTTCAATAAACCATTGACGAATTCGATTTTCTGTTATAATATTTCTAGCACAAATTAGGTTTTGGGAAATTCTTGTAGACAGTTCGGGATGCCTTTTTAAAAATAGTTCGTACCAAGCAATAGCTGAACACTATCCAACAACTGCGTTTTTGTTGCAGAAACTCCACTGCTGCAATCCGAAATAGCCATGCTACCAATAGGTTTTCTTCTTCTTCTGTTAGTGTGGTCCCTGGTCCAGATTTCTTCTCTAAAGAAATTCTACTCTTTACTTTATCCTGTAGAGTCGATCTGGGTATCTTATACAACTTGCTGAATCAAGAATGACATTCCTGACTGAACAGCTACAACAGCTTTGTTTATATCTTCCGCAGAATATTAAATTCGCTTTCTCCATTGCTAATTTCTGAATTGTAGTCTAAAACAAAGAATTTTAAATTATCGGCACGTATAGGCATGTATTATCGGCAGTGTTATATTAGGTCAAATTATGGCTATTTCTACTAGATATACGGAATGCCGAAAATTGGTACAAGGAAACATCGTTTTTTATTGCATATAATGACCAAACATTTGTCATAGTAAGTTAAAAGATTACGCTAAAATCAGCTTATATACAGTCTAATGCATATAAAACCAATTATCGGCACTCCAGCCGATGATTGGATCATCTGCTAATATTTATGTACCTATTATCGGCACTCTCAAAATACTGCAAAAAGCTATAGAAAAACAGTTTTTGGTCAACAAATAATCAAAATAAACTACTTCTCAACATATAAAACATAAAACGGTTATTCGATATTTTAATCGCGAATTATAGCATTCTGTAGCTTACCTCTTTCTTAACACATACAACAAGAAACACTTCCCACAAGAGTTTAGCGCCAACTGACTAATATATTTTTATGTTGTGATTGCAGTTTTCGTCTGACAATTAGCATATTGTTCATAGACGTAGATAAAGGTCCTTATAAATTAGTGAAATACTTTCGTCCAACAATAAAGCGCAAGAATTCTTATTTTTGTCGATTATGTAGAATTACTGCCGATAATTGGGGCAGTGTCGAAAATAGGAGCGTTTATCTTAATTAGTTGAAAAAAAATAATTTCTAAAAAATAATAATACAAAAATCTTTTTATCAAATATTTATTTTTTCTTCTGGTTTCAGCTGTTAATGTTTGGATTGAATATGCTCAATATTCAATTGGTACAAGTAATATACAAACCACGCGTTCTATACTAGAGAGAGGATTGACCTCTGCTGGACTACACGTAAGCGAAGGCTCTTTGTTATGGGATACCTTACGAGAGTTGGAACATGCCCATCTTTCTCTATATCAAGAAAATTCAGAAGAATGGAAGTCTCAGATTAAAAGGTTCCGTTTTTCATTCCCTCTTTTTAATAACTTAAATATAGGGTGGGTTTTTTAACAATCTATATTTAAGTTATTGGAGTATCGAGTAATGCGGTCTGTTATTTAAAAAAAAACTCTTTTTTCTTTTAATGCTCTATATTTGCTGATTTTTTGTCAGCTTCATCAGGAGACAACTAAAATATGGTTAAAAGTTATATAAAAATCAGGTAAGAATAAACAATGAATCACTTACAGATTTAGAGTTAAAAATATTTTAAAAAGTTGAACATAATTTGTTCAGTGCTGTTTTGAACATATTATGTACAACAATTTTTTTAAATATTTTTAACTCTAAATCTGTAAGTGATTCATTGTTTATTCTTACCTGATTTTTACATAACTTTTAACCATATTTTAGTTGTTTACTGATGAAGCTGACAAAAAATCAGCAAAATATAGAGCATTAAAAGAAAGAAAAAGAGTTTTTTTTTAAATAACAGACCGCATACTCGATACTCCAACACAATAAATTTATATATATATATATATATATATATATATATATATATATATATATATATATATATATATATAATGAAATCGTAGGCTTCCACGGCCAGAGTCAGAATTATAGTTTATTCGTCTTCCGGGATTGGACCGTGTCATTTGTGAGTGAACCAAAAGTGGGTTCATCTCGACGTTTCGCTACAATTGTATGTAGCTTGTTCAGGAGAACAAAGAAAAAGAAATCAAAAGACAGGAAGATGGGTAGTTAGCAACGGTAACTCAGTTACTCAACGCAACCAGAGGCGAATACTAACTACCAAGATGGGCATTTGGTCACAGTAACTCAACTACTTAACGCAGCCTACTTAACTCAACTATTATACATATATATATATATATATATATATATATATATATATATATATATATACAAACATAATTAACCTTTACGGGAAGGAATTTCTACCAGACATCAGACGATACGAAAAACTACGATCCAAACGAAGCACACTTTTGTGTAATCTCAGTTTTTTAGAACGCTGCCGCGACGAGGACATAATTCCTAAAAGCATGAAACTTACGTTTCATAAAAAGACTTATAAAACTAAAAACATCTTAAGAAGGGCCAGTTTTGCACTTATTAGGGAAGCTATCCATGACACGAGGCGGGATATCGACAAAGTCAATTCAGAATTACTAGAGCTACACCTAGTTCTAAGTAATAGTTTACATCCAATACTATGGAATACACTGGAAACACTATCCAACTTCCGAGCAGAGACAAACGCCGACTTAACAAAAATAAAACAACTGAAAAAGTTCAATAGTCTAACAGCCGAACAAAGACCGAGAAAAAAGGAAACACCACCGACGGAAACACACAAATTGGTTTACAATTTTTCGAATCTCGAATTAAATGAGGCCACAACGAGTGTTCTGTCAAAAGGATTTAATTTCGCCGTAGCACCCGCACGAATCCCTGTTGAAAACATTATCAGCGAAGTAGAAAGTTCCATTACCAATATACCTCCGGAAACAGCTGAGATCATACGCCAAGACGTATCGCAGATATTACGGACAGCCAAACCACCGAAAAGAAATTTAACACGTGAGGAAAAAGAGGCGTTGCGAGATTTGCAGAAAAACAAAGAAATAATCGTCCTTCCAGCGGACAAAGGTAACGCCACGGTAGTAATGAATATAGATGACTACGACAAAAAATTAACAGATCTTCTAAACGACACAGCATACGAAAAAATTGCCACAGATCCAACAACGTATCTAGAAAAAACAACGAAGGCCAAGATCAAAGTTTCAAACATAAAAAAGGAGGATCAGCCCAAGCTGATTCCACGCGAAAAATCATCTAGGTGCCCTAAGCTCTACGGTTTACCAAAAGTTCATAAAGTTGGGATGCCACTACGACCAATAGTTAGTTCAATCGGATCACCCACACAGCCGCTCGCAAAATTCTTAGCCAATCAGTTACAACCGTACGCAGAGGAAGCGGATTCTTACGTCAAGAACGCAGGCCACTTCATCGAGCGTATAAAGGACGTGACTCTTGACCCGGGACATTTGCTAGTGAGTTTTGACGTGGTGTCACTTTTTACTAACGTCCCAGTAGAAGAATCGTTAGAAATTATAGGAAAAAAATACCCAATACCACCGGATACAGTAAACCTAACGAGACACTGCCTGAACAACACATATTTCATATACAAAGACCAAAGGTACAAACAAGTCGAGGGAGCACCCATGGGTTCACCACTGTCACCGGTGATAGCAAATCTGTTTATGCAAGAAATAGAAATACGAGCAATAACAACGGCAGAGTATAAACCGAAACTATGGTTGAGATACGTGGACGACACCTTCATTATCTGGACACATGGGGAAGAAAAACTAAATACATTCCTAAATCACATTAATACCATCCACCCCAAAATTCAGTTTACTATGGAACTAGAGAAAGACCAACAGCTACCGTTTTTGGATGTTTTAATAATAAAGAAAACAGATGGAACTTTAGGATACACGGTATACAGAAAACCAACACACACCGACAGATATCTACACGCTGACTCACACCACCATCCTGCACAACTGCAGTCAGTCATCAAAACCCTGACTATAAGATCAGAAAGATTAACAGATGAAGAACACAGGAACAAAGAAATGAAAACGGTCAAAACAGCATTAAGAAAAAATGGCTTCACCACGTACACAATTGAAAAGGCACAAAAATCACAAGGAGGAAAAAGCAAAGAATCAACAGAAGAAAAAGAAAAACCTATTGCTAAGACGATTTTACCGTACGTGAAGGGCACTACGGAAAAAATCAGTAGAGTCCTAAGAAAACATAAAATAGAGACAATATTCAACACGGATAAGAAAATTTCTAATATGCTTAACTCCGCAAAAACCAAAATCCCACTAGAAAACCAAGGAGTGTACAAGATTCCCTGTGGAGACTGCGACAAATCCTACATCGGACAGACTAATCGAAGAATTCAAGTAAGACGAGAAGAACATCGAAACGCTATTGCAAAGCAAGAAAAGACATCTTCCCTTGCACAACATGCCCTAACAACAGGACACACAATCGATCTAGAACAGACAACAATGCTAGCGAACATCGAACACAAAACCAAGCGAATAATCAGGGAAGCCATAGAAATAGAAAAATATCCAAATAACCTAAACACTCGAGATGATGCCCAAAGACTTCCAACAACATGGAAACCAGCTCTGCAAAGAACCGTCCAAAAAAATTCAACTTCAGTTAACGCACAGAAAAAACAAACAGCGAGACCGCCAGACAAGGCCCCGCCCACTCGCACACAGGCAGGACCAATCACAAGAGCCCGCGCGCCGCCGAGAGAGTATTTAAACGAGCGCCGAAATGCCCAGTCGACCAGTACTAATTGAGTAACGACGAGAAGTAGATCCACCAGGCTTGAGAATGGCAAGTGAGACCTTGCCGAAACATCGCCAAAACAATGGTTTTCAAGAAAACCAGATTTTACAACGCAATTTTTTTTGTTTTTGGTGCAAAATATTTTTTGCTTTTTTAATAAATATTTTCAAATGATTGAAATTTTAATACAAAATATTTTTTCATATTTAGGTTAGTTGAAGTATTCAGAAGACAGCTTTCTGTTCCACTTTTAAATATGAAAAATACATACAATGAATGGACTGATTGGTACACATCCTTGCCCGACGGTTTAGTAGATTCAGGCCCTGTCGAATGGGGCTATAAAAAAGCAATAAAAACCTTAGAAACATATAAACCTTTTGAAGATAGACTTATATCTGCAGATAGTGCTGAACTATATGATATTTACAAAGAATATATTAAAGAAGTTAAAGATACATCAACCGTATTATGTTTGTATGAAAGGGCGGTACTCCCATTATGTTTAACACCTCTTTTGTGGGAAGATTATATTAAATATTGTTTTAAATTAAAGGAAGTTGTCTTAAAGGTAGGAACTAGAGCTATTAGAAATTGCACTTGGAGTGAACCTTTGTGGATTGCTAGGCTTCGGGCTCTTGAATTTCATAAATTGGATGAAAAAGATATTATGGAATGTTTTGAACAAGGTAAGTTGTAAAAACATGTTTTTATTGTGGCGTAGCGTGTAAAGTAGCAATAAAATTTGATTAGGAGTAATAACCCAAGAAGGGTACATATATTGCTAAATGTCTGTCTTTGATAGACCCGACAAAAAAGTAGAATTTAAAACGAGTATCCGTCACAAATTCCATTCCATTCTTTCTTCTTCCATTACAACCACATTTACATACAATTACATCTTCTCCATACACCACATTTACATTCATTTACGTACAATTACATTCTTCCAAAAATGTAAGGTCCAACTAATTACAACCAACCTTAAACAATTCCCTACTGGACTATTGATCCTGGAAGGACAAAAACGTTATTATTTGACACAAAAAACTATTATCTAATGCTCATACATAAAATCATAATGACATAATGATTGGTGTAATTAATCTATTGATGTAATTAATCTAATTCTAGGTGTAATTAATATAAGCCCACAGCCACCGTTGGAGTTTTGGTTTTCATTCTTGGAGTATTATCACAGAAATTCAGATGACCAAAAAAAGCTTGATAAACTTTTCTCTCAGGCTGTACAACAAATTGGGCATGAAAATGATCCAACATATAAAGTTAGCAGATGGCACGCTCGTTTGCTAGCCAAACGCGGAGATATGGAGTCTGCTAGGAAAGTCTGGAGTAATATTATCAATGACCAACAAAATAAAGGTGAATAATTTATTCTACATATATTTTTATTCCTTATGAGCAGAGACCGGAATGTACGCAAAAGAACAAATACGCTCGTATATATCTGCACAAAATTGGTGCAGATATGCAATTTTTTTAAGAATATGCGTAATGTATGCAAATATGCAAACGTTAATTATCGTCTTATTCATAAAGGGTCCCCTTGTTAAGATAGGCAAAATGCCCTCACTCCCAATATTCAATTTTTTTACTTTCTGTGTGATTAAAAAATAAGGCTCAGGCAATTTTAACCAGCCGACCCTCTCCCACTACCCGCCAAAGTCCCACCACAAAAACGTCAATTTTTTGTATTTTTTTTTAGGTGCAATCAATTTAAAAAATTCACACGCATAGTTGGGATTTTTACAAAACTTGTCTTTTTTTGTTAACCTGGTCGACCTAGGTTGAATGTACATAACCTAAAATGCAATTTTTTTTTTAGAAAAAATCAAACTTTTTTGGGGTGGCTGCAGATCCAATTTTTTTATTTTGTGTATTTAATCAAAAACTTAATCTCTCATTTTTTCAGAATTTTTCATATGGTGCGCTATCTTCAAAAATTGGAAAAAACCGGTTTTTTTTAGTGATTTCAGGGAATTTTGTGACCAAATCAACGTTTTTATAGTACATATGAAAAGTGTGTGTATAGTGAAAAACGTGTTTTTGGGGTGGTCTAAAGGGTGTTTCGCCCATTTTTTGATCCATACAGAAAAATCTGAAAAAATGAGAGACATAGTTTTTTATCAAATTCATAAAATAAAAAACATTGGAGCTGCAGCCACCTTCAAAAAAACGACTTGTCTATAAAAATAGACAAATTGCACTGTGTCTTATTTTTTAATCATAGAAAAAGTAAAAATAGGAGAAAATTAATTCAAGTTGTGTCGAGGTCAAAAAATATGTTTAACCCCGTCAAAACAGTAAAAAACATGGCTTTTGGGGAGTGTTTCGCACATTTTTGAATGTTCTAAAGGCCCCATTTAATTTAGAATATAATATAACCTATAAAAACCTTGATTTGATCTATTTTGAAGTCTATAAACTGGAGAAAATCCGCCAAACTGTACTGTATCATTTGTTTATGTAGATTAAAACTGCAGTAACGTAAAGTCACCTATTACCGCACCAGTTAAGGAAAGTTAATATTTCGTTGGATCATTTTTATATTTTTATGGTTACAAAAATCTCGTAGAACTTATGTGAAAATAACTATATTATGTGTCCAAATAATTAAATTATTTTTCCAAATTTCAATTATTAGAAAAAATACTAAATTAAAATCGAGCAAATTTTGCTAATACCACCTAATAGTATTTATTTTTATCTATTACCGATTTTTTATAACCTATTACCGATTGTGAGATAACAGATGTTATCAACATTGTCTATATTCAGTGAAACACCCCTGACTATAAGAAGTGTTTATTATTAAGCAAAACAAATACAATATATGAAATTAAACTGAAAAACTTTTTTATTTCCTTATTCACTACCTACCTACCCAAATTCTGAGGTAAATTAGGTAATTGAACAAGGCGTTCAAGCCAGAGCTGCTGACGTAGAATCTATTAGTTCTGTAATAAAACTTTTTATTCCTTGACAACATCTGCATAAAAAAATGCTGCTTGTAACCAAGTACCCCATCTCATGTAAAGTAGGTAATGGAATATTACACAGACGTTCTTTGTAAAATTGAACTCGTAATGGCCATTTAATAGAAACTATTTTGTCATTATTTATCAAATCATTAACATGTGGTTTTATTTTGAGAAAATCGAGTTATCAGCAACATTTTTTCGAATTTTTTTATGGTCCCATGGTCGGAAATCTCGATATATTTTTATCTTAAGTTCCTAAGCACTGTGCCTGAATACACAGGTGTACACTGTTTGACGCGAAAATTATAAATGAAACTAATGTGAATTTCGGATATTCATAGAGTATTATTTCACTACTTATTTCCAAAAGATTCACCGACACTTCCGCTCCTTTTGCATTTCGGAAAAAACCGTCTTTTCATATGTTTCATTTTTTTATTTATTAGGGTGGTTAATTGTTTACCAGTTTACCTCAAATCTTTTATTACTCGGGGAATTTGAATGAACAATTTCGAGAAAAGGTCGACACATTCAGACAATGTTGTCATTATACATTTTGCATATATTCCTGGCTCTACATACGAGGATAGATTGATATTAAACTAGCCTTTGATAGAAGGCGCTACTTGATACCGAATTGGTTTCGGTGATGACATTTGCCATTCATGACATGACGTCTGTCAAAATTTTAAGTTTTAAAAACAATTAGTTTGCTTTTTACAGCCGTCAAAAGCCAGCAAATTTTGTGTTTTCGGAGAAATGGAAAAAGTCGAGTATCGTTCGGTGATTAAGCTCCTCCACAAAAAGGGTAAAACAAATGTGCAAATCAAAGCCGAGCTGGAAGAAGTTTATGGTGAGGTTGCACCTTCGTTAGCAACAGTAAAATTTTGGAAAGCTGAATTTGTTCGTGGTCGTACGAGTGTTTTTGATGATGAGCGTCCCGGGAGGCCAAATGAAGTCACCACGCCGGAAATGATCAACAAAGTCCATGACACGATTATGGCAGATCGTCGAATTAAGCTCCGCGAGTTAATAAAGGTCCTAAACATTTCCTACGAACGCGTACACAACATCATTTGCAATCATTTGGACATGAAAAAGCTATCCGCGCGATGGGTGCCGCGTTTGCTGACAATCGATCAAATGCGAAAACGTGTGACCACTTCGGCGACGCTCTTGGCGATGATACGGCGTGATCCTAGGGATTTTTTTCGCCGATATATCACCGTTGATGAAACCTGGGTGCATTATTACACACCGGAAACCAGCGACAGTCGTCGCTGAAACTTCGGCCTATTTTAAAGAGCTCGAGCAAAAGTACTATTCGGATGGGATAAAAAAATGGGAACATCGTCTGACTAAGTGTATCGAGCTAAAAGGGGACTATGTTGAGAAATAAATCGATTTAATTTTAAAAAACTTGTTTTTTCTATCAAAAGCTAGTTTTATATCAATCCACTCTCGTATAAGGAATTTCCACTTCTTTTAGTATGTCTAGTGACCGTTTGAAATAAAAACTTGTTACTAGTCAATCCATAAATTAGAAATTACTATTTTAATGGAAATAAGCCACAATTGTAGTTTAAAATTAGTTTACTCACGTTTCATTTTCCACTTCGGATCTCAATACACATAATAACAAAGTTTGTTGTTACTTGGTGAAAAATTCGTCTAATAATTTAATTTTTTCTTACTCATTTATATTGACAATTCAGACATATATTATACATTTTAAAGTACCCGACTTTAAAATGATATTGCCAACATTGCCGAGTTGTGTTTCTGGGACAAGTCTATTTTAAGATAGTTCATTCGATTGTATGAAATCAACTTTAACTTGAAAATATCCGTCAGAAAAAAATCATTCGTCTTTAAAAAGACAACTACATGCAATGATGACAGTAAAATTCTCCTGTTAGTGATTCCATAGTAAATCATGACGAAAAAACCTCATAGTACTATATAACCTACATAATAATATCCCGACATGATAAGTATTTAGTCTTAAATTTAGTCTACTCTAAATAAATACCAACCTTCAAGTTTACATGTATGTTATGTAAAAATATAAATGATTTATACTCGATACGTTATTGACTTACTTATAGTGGTATTTTCTTTTTATTGATTTCCTCATTACTCCAGTAGTCAGCCACTGAACCTCTAAAAATCATACGAACAAGCTGAATTTTGACGGGAATATTAATTTTTGGGCCCCAAAAAAGATGCAAAAAAATTTACCACTTTTACCCCCGGGTTTCCCTCTAAAACTCCCCTCGCAGGTGTGTAAAAACGCAAAAAAAATCGATTTACACAGAATTTGTTCACCGTAGAAAAAAAGGTTTCAAATAAAAAATGTAGCTGAGATAATTTTAAACAAAAATGTTTATAAGCATTATTTTGTGTAGAATGAACCGTTCTCGTAGAAACAGCGCTTGAAGCGACCGTCCATTTTGCATGTTAGTTACGCGCGCGAAGTCAATGTTCAATAAAATTTGTATCAGCGCGATGGTAAAAATTCGATATCTTTAGATTCAAGTGACCTATCGACAAAAAATCAAGACGCGTTTTAAAGGTAAGGAGTTTACCTTTTAAAATCATGAATGTGTTGCCTGTGTGAGTCCATTTCAAATAGGTAAAAATAAATAAAAATTAAACGACCGGTTTGGCTTTCTACAATTTGCAAAGCATCTTCAGGTCAAACGGCACAAAGTAAATTAAATGCTGAAAATTTTCTTCATATTAAAACACAGATATGTAATATTGGCGTAATTGCTGTAATTTGTTCTTTATAAGACAGTACAAAAGGCTTTTTATAATTTCAGCATTTAATTTACTTTGTACCGTTTGACCTGAAGATGCTTTGCAAATTGTAGAAAGCGGAACCGATCGTTTTGGTAGTAAAATTAAATTGATTGTGAGTAAGTCTTAGCCATCGAGCAAAAAGACAAAAGAGGGAATCTAATCGTTATGAAAAGGAAGACCAAAAAAGTGGCCTCTGATGACGGACGTATCCGGAAATGCAAAGGCGCTAAATTTAAATTTTCCAACATTTATTAACAATAGCTATAAAATATTTTTTAGACGAGAAAGTTTTAATTAAATATTAACGATAATAGTCTAAAAAGGGACACAATTGGTAAAAAACTTCAATATAAATAAAATTTCATGTGACAGTTGGGACAAACAATAACATAACCAAACTAAATTTGATTTCTTAAACAAGGAAAGAGACTGTCTTTCCTTGTTTAAAGTGGCCTCTCCAGTTAGCACTTTCCTGTCTAACAATATTTTTGTCCCCACTACCTTTATATTCCCTCTTTTGTCTTTTTGCTCGATGGTCTTAGCTTAGCTTTTGTGTGCAGTTTTTGAATTTTGCCACAAATAAACTCAGATTTTATACAGGTGTTAAATAAATAAACGTGGTGCGATTTTTGGCATTTTTTATGATTCTCACGAGATCAGTACAATATGTGCCTTACATTGATTGACCACTATAAAGTTTTGATTACTAAAACCTAACCTTTAATAGCTATAGCATGAAATTTTAGTTTTGCGTTTTAACAACAAATATGAGCCATTCGAAATATGCTTAAAAAACGTTGAATTTCACACAACTTTCACACAACAAACGATCTAAATCATTTAATTTTTTTTTTCAATTACACTAGTAAGTTTTTCAAAAGAACATAACGACTGCAATAATCTACACCCAAAACAGTCTTCTTAAATGCATTTTCCGTGACGTGTGATCGTTTGTAATGTAAAACATTAAATTCTGGGTTTTTTATTCATATTTCAAATGCCTCATATTTTTTACCAGAACTCAAAATTGAAATTTCATGTCATAGGTTATAAAGATTGATCTCTAAAAATGAAAAGTTTACTACAACTGGTCAATGAAAGTGATCAATTTTATTGATCTCACTAGAATCGTAAAAAATGGCAAAAATCGCGCCACGTTAATTTATTTAACACCTTTGTAAAAACTGAGTTTATTCTCGGCAAAATACAAAAACTATATACGAAAGCTGCACTATTTTCCTTTAAAATGCATCTTAAATTTTGTTTATAGGACATTTGGATCAGAAGATATCGAATTTTTACCGTCCGGCTGATACAAATTTTATGGAACATTGATTTTGCGCGCGTAACTGACATGCAAAATCGACGGTCGCTTCAAGCGTTGTTTCTAAGAGAACGGTTCATTCTACACAAAAAACGCTTATAAACATGTTTGTTTAAAATTATCTCAACTTCATTTTTTATTTGAAACATTTTTTTCTACTGTGTACAGATTCTTTGTAAATCGATTTTTTGCGTTTTTACACACCTGCGTGGGAGGTTTTAGGGGGAAGCCCGAGGGTAAAAGTGGTAAACTTTTTCGAGGTCCCAAAATTAATATTCTCTGCAAAATTCAGCTTGTTCGTATGATTTTTATGGGTCAACTCTCTGCCGACTGAACACTTTTAATATGGGTAACCAGATATGGACGACGACAATAAAGTCGTCCTAGTAACGCAACTCAGCAATGTTAGACCAAGGAAATAAGGTGGTTTTTTTCGTGATACTGAAACGGCCAGGCTAACGACAGTTGTTTTGAATAGTATAGACCTCTGTAACAAAAATCTATATGTTTCCTACAGTCGATCTTTTAACAAGTTAAGGTCAAAAATCGGTAAATTTTTACTTTTTTCGTCTATCAGCAAATAGTGAAGCATTTGAAACAATTTTATGAGTAATAAATTTATAAGTCATATAACATCTTCAACATGGGTTTTTTTAAATGCTTCCAGCCTTATTTGGTGCTTAGAAAGTTGCAAAATAAGTCATAAATTTCGGTTCTTTATAAATATTAATAACTTTTTAAAAAATTAACTTAGAACCTTCATATCACACAGAATGTTGGGTCTTGTAGTGCTTAAAATATGGTCAAAATTTCAAATGGTTTGGTCAAATTGTTTAAAAGTTATTTTATTTGTTTATAAATTATAAAGATAGAATGTCCTCTTTGTGTACAAACACTGTTCAAATTATGAATATTATTTTTTCTCTTTATGATATTGGTGTTTATGTTATATTTATTGTCTTTTAGGTTCTGTAAATGCATGGTTAGAATATGCAAATTTGGAAAAACAATTCGGTGAAGTAAACCAAGTGAGAAATATTTTCAAAAGGGCTCTGTTTGCATGTAAGGATTGGCCCCAATATATTGCAGATGAATGGTTAATGTTAGAGCGTGAATTTGGTACTTTAGAAGATATCATGAAATGCCAAGAAAAATGTAAGAATGTTCTAAGAACTGCCAGCCAATATGCACAGAAAAACCCCGATGTTCAATATGAACGTGAAGATAATAGATCATTCAGTAGGAAAAGGAAGCAGGAGGATCCAGAAACGTCCCGAGTGGGTTCAAAGCGTAGATACGAAGATTCAGGGAGACGTAGAGACGCCAACGATGATTTCAATTTTAAAAAGTTGCGGGTTTCACAAGAGACGAAACATCCTCCATTCTCAAAGCCTATTGAAAATAAAGATCCAAAAACTACTGTATTTGTCAGTAATATACATCCTACAGTAAATGAAGAAACATTGAAGGAACTATTTCCAAATGCGTTAAATATAAGTATTGTTTTAGATAAAAAAGGCAAGTCTCGATGTTTTGGATACATACAATTTGCAAAAGAAGAAGAATGCATGACAGCTCTAGCACGAGATAGAGTTCCAATTAATGGAAGACCTGTTTTTATATCAGAACTCAAATCTGAAAAATCTGAGAAAAGCTCGTTTAAATACGCTCAATCTACCGAAGAAAACAAATTGTTCGTAAAAGGATTGCCAATTTCGAAAACCAAAGAAGATGTTGAACAAATTTTCAAACAGTATAATCCCATAGACATACGACTTATAACTAAAAAGAATGGAGAATCGAAAGGAATTGCTTATGTAGAGTTCAAAACCGCAGCAGAAGCTCAAAAGACCCTGAAAGAAATACAACCGTTAAAAGTAGATGATCAGGAAATAACAGTAGCAATAAGCGCTCCACCTCCAAAGAAACCGAATGAAAAATCATACAAACCAGAGCTGAAGGAGCCAACAAGACATGCTAGAAGCAAGATACAAATGCCATTGATGCCCAGAACTTTACTTGTTAAAAGTAGCGTCGAAAAAGCGGTGGATAATGGAAAAGTCGAATCGGTAAATAAAACACCGAAGAGTAATGCGGATTTTAGAAATATGTTTCTTAAAAAATAGTTTAAATATTTTATTATTGATTATAATATATGTACAATAGATATATAAAAACAATAATGTAGTATTTTGTACCCAAAATAGTTTTCTCCCTCGTTTCTCATATAATTTTTTATAGCTACTTTAGGATACTCCATACATAGTCATGACACGTCATTAAATTTACTGCGACTTAAAAGAAAATCTTACCACTCAGTTGTAACACTCTAATTTATTTATGTTATTCATTTTCTGTTCAGGACATTAAACCATATATTATTCATGCGTAGTTTTCACTTTTTTGTGGTTAACACTGTTAATCACAAAAATATTAATAGAAAAATGTAACGAATACAAGTTTCCAGTTTTCCTAGCATTTGTAGACTACGAAAAAGCTTTCGATACCATAGAACACACGGTCTTAATAAACGCAATGCAAAATTGTAGAATAGGCAGCAGTATATTAACTTAATAATAGAAACTATGAACCAAGCTACAGCTACATACTACCTAAATGAAAATGAACACACAAACCCTGTAACATTAAACAGGGGAGTCAAACAGGGAGATACTTTATCACCCAAACTGTTCACTTTAGTATTGAAGGACGTTTTTAAAAACCTAAATTGGAAATATAAGGGAATAAATATTAATGGCCGCTACCTCAGTAAACTACGATTTGTAGACGACATAATCCTGATAGCTACTGACCTACAAGAAATGCAAACCATGCTTTTAGAACTACATACCGAATCTTCTAAAATAGGACTGAAAATGAATTTAAACAAAACAAAAGTCATACACTCCGAAGACACCGTGAAGTTGAAGAATATATATACTTAAGACAAAAAATAATACTAAATAGGGAAATTCAAACTGAAGAAATAAAAAGAAGAAGAAAGTTAGCTTGGGCAGCATTCGGTAAACTGAACTATATACTCAGAAATCAACAAATTCAATTACATCTTAGATCTTAAGTTTTTGATGCATGCATTATTCCGATATTAACTTATGCGGCACAAACATGGACAATCACAAAAAAGAATATGAATATACTTAGTCACTCAACACGCGATTTAAAGAGTTACGCTAGGTATATCACTTAAGGACAAGAAAACAAACACATGGATAAGACAGAAAACCAAAGTCACCGATGTGGTGCAAAAATCATTAAAGTTAAAATGGGAATACGCTGGACATGTAGTTAGGAGCGATCTAAACAAATGGCACAGATCAATTTTAACCTGGAGACCATACCAACACAAAAGACCCAGAGGCAGACCTCCTATGAGATGGACAGATGATCTGAAAAGGACTGCCGGGAAAAATTGGCTACAAGTAGCGTACAATAAAAAACAATGGAAATGAAGACTTGAAGAGGCTTATGTTCAGATGTGGACGTGAATGGCTAGACGAAGGAGAAGTTTTCACTTAATGATATTTTTATCATGCATTTTTTTCATGGAACCAGATATTTGCCGCTTAGATTTAGAGTTACTAGAAGAATAGAAAATGAAGCTGAAATAATATTGACATCTTCTTCTTCTAGTAATGTAATGTAAACATAGCAAGAAAATAAAGAATAGAAAAAATAAGGGCTAAGTAGCATAGAGAAGATAATAATTATTCAAAATAATTATTATATATTTCAAATTAAATAAAGAATAAATTCGATACAGTAACGTGAGTAACGTATACATGTTAATCTATACAAAGAAAAACAATTTGACCCAGTTAGTTGCACGACACGAGCCAGTATCAGTTGCAACAGTTGTTCAAAAAAAAAAGAAAATAGTCACGTTTTAATAAACACAGGCCTACGCTGGAAAATATCACCAACGCCAACCTGGTTTAAATCATGAGGACTCAGTAAAAACTCGACCTTGGTACTACAATCGACATTTGAGAATACGAGCTCAATAAAAACGAAAAGAACGGAGGAGAACGCGATCAGTAGTATCGAGGGAGCGCTCAAGGCATTAATTGCCAGCTCCGTGGACGCTCGGATGCGATAGCGTCCAGTACGCGGTCAGTCAGTAATAGCTGGGCACCGTGACTGCCTGCTCAGGCAGTGATTGTCGGAGGCGGTAGCGTCCAGTCAGTCAGTATCTTCGGGCGGGGCTGTCAAGGCGAGAGGCGACGCCAGGTGCGAATTACGCGCGATTGTTATAGATTCGACGGGAGATAGTTCTGTATAAGTGTCGGGTACTGAAAGAAATCCGATTTCCAGAGGAACTGAAGGGCGTATTATTAGCTAGAGCCTAAATACGCGAAAGGTAACGAAATTCCATATATTAACCCGAGTAAATTATAGTAGTACAGATTGTCACCCCTTTACTTTCTTGCTAAGATCTCTTCTCGTCTCCCTTCGCGCTGAACGAGTTATTATTGATTATATCTGACAGCTTGTTAACTTAATTGTAAACCACATAGTATATTCAATACATTTGTAGACTCTAAATTTGGTTTTTATGTTCCTTCCGGCCGATTCAGACAGACCAGGAGAGTACCAAATTTCGGCTTATACATTTATCCGGCTTCTAAAGTAAGCCCATAGACTCAAACTCTTTACAGGACCTGAGACCTAGAAGCCCTTAAATCCCTATCCCGAAACTTCTCTACCTTCTCGTAAATCCACGAAGGCGAGCCAGTCATTCCAGACCAGTGGGACCAGTAGCCTTGCAGCCGCTCGCAGGGATAAGCATCCTTAAGGTCCATATCGAGGATGTTACAGTGGTGACAGCGTTGTACTAAGGTGAAGATTTTCTCACCCTCTAGTTCCAGATTTTACAATAGGGGATATAACCTCCCGCTAGTTGTAGTGGTGACAGCGGAGCGCCCCAGTACTATTACACCGTCTCCACTAATGAAGGTTGGCTAGAACCATTGCAATTGCAAATTCGTCTCTATCTTCTGCTTTTCTTAACCTAACCTAATCCGGTCCAGCCGCAAATGTTTTTCAGTCAGGATATTTGTCGTCTACCAGGACCCCTTTTCCTTCGATTTTACCCTTCATAATCAGCTGCAACAACGCGTACTTATCGTTTCTAAGTATGTGTCCAAATATGCGGTCTTCCGCCTTTTAATGGTGGTCAAAAGTTCTCTCTCTCTTCGCATTCTGTGGAACACCATTTCGTTCGTAATATGATCGATCCATGATATCTTCAAAATTCTCCTAAAAAGGCACATCTCAAAAGCTTCCAGTTTTCTCATTAAGTCAACATTAACAGTCCAGGCTTCGACACCATAAAGAAGAATAGAGTGGATATAACATTTTACCATCCGATATCGGATTTGCAGATTGAGTCTTTGGTTACTCAGAAATTTCTTCATCTTCAAAAAGGCTGCTCTTGATTGCTCTATTCTTAAGCGAATTTCTAATTTCTGATTCCGATCTTGCGTAATCCAACTCTAAGATTCTTTTTCACTGCAGATCTTCATTTTTTATCTGACTTTACCCCTCTTACTGATAACCATGGTTTTTGTTTTCTTTGTTTATTGTTAAACCAAACTGTTCCCCAGTATCACAAATTGTGTTTAGTAATGTTTGCAGGTCTGTCTCACTTTCAGCGATAATGACTGTATCGTCAGCATAGCGGATGTTATTTATATTTTCACCATTTATCTTGATCTTCTGATATTATCTTGCGTAAATAACTCTTCGGAATATATATTAAATAGTAATGGTGAAAGTACACAGCCTTATCTCACTCCTCTACTTATCTGTTGCGCATCCGTGCTATTTCCATCTAATGTTACCACAGCCTGTTGGTTCCAATAGAGATTTCTCACTATGTTAATATCATTTTTGTCGAGTCCTTTTCTCTTTAGGCATTCCATGAGAATGTTATGTTTAACTTTGTCGAAAGCTTTCTCATAGTCTAAAAACGCAACGAAAAGATCTTTTTGTTGGTCTCGACATTTTTGGGCAAGAGTTGTGAAACTATACAGAGCTTCCACTGTTCCGAAGCCGTTACGAAAGCCAAACTGTCTATTACTCATATCCGCTTCGCACTTTCTGAATATTCTTGCATCTATAATCTTCAAAAATGTATTTAATAATTGTGACATTAAGCTGATTAATTTTGGCATCAAAAGAAGAAAACTTAAGTACTTAAGAGGGCAAAAATACTCATTTTGCTATGCAAAATTCAAGGACTGCGAAATGTGAGAAGACTAAGAATATCGTGGCTTATGAACTTGATGGAATGGTTTGAATGCAGTAGTGCAGAACTGTTTAGTGCAGCGGCAGTCAACAGGGTCCGCATAGCCATGATGATTTCCAACCTTCGATAGAAGATGGAGCTTAAAGAAGAATCAACTTCCGAATTAGTCTTTCTGTAATCAAAATCTGTTTGTGAATTAAACTTCAAGAAGTTAAAATATATTTTAGAGATGATATAGTATGGATGATAAATGTTTTTCACAACAAATCACAGACAGCATGAAAAGAAAAGACACTGTGTCAAATCAATCTGGTCTTAAATCCAATTTACTCAATTGAATTCACAATCAATTAAAATGATAATATTGTTAATAGTACATTGTTTACCGGGTAGGAAAAGCTTAACATTCCTGGACGACTGTGAAGATTGCTAAGTCGAGGCGCAAGCCGAGACTTAGCAACACAGAGTCCAGGAATGTGGCTTTTCCTACGAGGTAAACATACTATTTTTCCGCAAAATCGTTTAAAATTCGACAGATATTGATTTTAAAAAAACGCGATAATTTTATTCCCAAATAAATGGTGCTTTGAAATTCCTAATAAAATTACTTGGATTACTATGGAAACGTATTGAGGTTGAATTGTCAAACTTGACGCTTATAAATTTAATTGCTGGTGTTCTCGAAAGTAAAATGATAAGTGATGATGAAATTTCCATTCCTGGGACTCCTCCAGAGCTGGTTGAGGCAGTGAATACTGCTTCATTAGAATTATTGCCAAAGAAATCAAGAGAAAAGTACGAAAATGCATACAGACGTTTTATGTAAAAACAAAATTTAAAATATTCAACAAAATGACACTTCCACCCTGCATGTTGTCCAAAATGTTTCTTATAGTTCTAAGAGTGTTCCTCCAATGTTCAATAATTGTACCAACTGTCAAATTACTGTAAATATAACAAATTGATCTTAAAAATGTATTCAGCAATGACTTGATGTTTTCAAATAAATTAATTCCTTATAAGCAATTTGTTTTCTATCATTTATGTAGAACACTAACAACTGTACGAAAATATCATTTCCTTACAGTAAGGAAGTCCTGACTTTTTCTTCAAGAAATTTTGACAGGAATGTCAAAATTTCCTGGCGATATGCGGAAAAATGTTTTTATTATTGTTACTCAGTCATTCAATCGATAAATTTAAGTGTGTACTCCCATTGTTTAATAATATATAGGGTGAGTTGTGAATTTTGACTGAAATTTCTATTCGTCATAGCTTTTAAACGGTAAGTTCGATGTATCTCTTATTTTGGCCAAATGTTATACTACTGCCACCTAATCAACGGATTTATTCAAACTAGAAAAAAATCAGGTCTGGCTTTTAAAAATTAGTTCATTTTGTTTATAGGAAAAACTTTCAACCAGTACCCATACTTTATTATATTATTTATCTATGACCCTACGGTTTTTGAAAACACTAATACGAATTTTATAAGTTAGATATATAGTCAATTAAAATGCCATTTTTCCTCATACGATTACTTAATATTTAATTAAAAAATCAAATTTTACTATAAACTGAGTTTAGCAAAATGAACCATAGGTCTAAAAAAATTAAACTTTTCTTGCAAAAATCATTTTTTTTTGTACAAACAGGACCTGTTTTTTTCAAGTTTCAAAAATCAGGTGCAGTTTTAAAATGTTAGTTCGTTTTGTTCATAGAAAAATTTCACTCTGTCTACGGTTTTTGAAAACTCTAATAGGAATTTTACAAATAAGACATATAGGCGAATACAACGGCATATTTATTTTTCCCCACAAGATTACTTTTTAATTAAAAAAATCAAAATTTTTATAATCCTTTTTGATCTTAATCGTTTCAATGACATGATAACAAACTTTCTCTACCTGAATTTACAATTATAAATATTAAAAAATAATTTATAATTAAGAAAATATAGGTAAAAACAAATAAATAAGACTTACAATCAGTTTAATTTAACTACCAAGACGACCGGTTTCGCTTTCTACAATTTGCAAAGCATCTTCAGGTCAGTCGGTATAAAGTTAATTACAAAGTCGGTCTTGGTAGTTAAATTAAACTGATTGTAAGTCTTATTTATTTCTTTTTACCTATTTGAAATGGACTCACACATGCAATACATTCATGATAAGAAAATATAATTATAAATTCAGGTAGATAAAATATTGTGAGTCATTAAAAGAATATTCAGTTAATGTCAGACGTTTGTGCCGTGTCAATATGGCCGCAAGTTTAAAAAAATTCAAAAACGGTAATTTGTTAAACAGTGAATTCAAAAAGAATAGTATTAAATGTTTTTAACTATTTGTATATCAAGCAGTAACAATGATAAAAGTGTATCAACAATAGTGCGAAAGTTTCTGCTATGACTCTAGTCTCTGAACGAATGACTTTCTCTTTTCTAAATGTGCCTATCTTCTAGAGATGTTGGCGACCACATTGACCCATCTTATTCTATTCACAGCAGCTCGAAATAGATCAATTGACGTTAGACCAATATATTTCCTAAAATTTTCCAGGCGGATATACATATACGTCCAGGACCTCTCTTATCCTCAAACTTGCCCTGTAGAAGTCGGTATTTATCATTACGCATGATGTGGCCGAAGTAAGCCAATTTTCTGTTTTTTATGGTGTTAATAATTTCTTTGTCTTTTCATATGGATTTTTTCATATGGAATCTGTAATAAAACGGTTTAGTAAATAGGAGACTTGCAATAATATATGCTTCAAATTTTTAAGATAACTTATATTTTTTTCCCGAAACTAAAACTACCGCCAATAATCAAACTGTTACATGTTTAGTATAGGTATACCGATTTTCTTGCAAAAATGGGATTTTAAATTAAATTTTTGAATCGTTAAAATATAAGTGGACTCACCTTTTTATCACAAATAGTACAGAAAACACTTTCATTGTCTATAATCTTCATTTCACTGCTGCCACCAACCTAACAGACTTGATTTTCGTTTCGCTACTTTCGGCATATTTTCAAAAAAAAATTATTTATGAGCACAATATTCACAATCACAAGTTACTTTGCCAGCTAAAAGTAAAGAGAACTTAAAAACGAATTTACTGTATAATACCTACCTGCATCTTGGCCCTATTCTTCTGATAAATAATTCCCAGATGGGTTTTCCCAAACAATAAAACTTTTAGATTTAGTAGATATTTGTAATAAAATTATTTCGTACTTACCTTACCTAGTACCTGCTGTGAATAATTCCAAGAAACTATTATCTAAATATAATATATATCTTGTCTGTCTTTATTTATGATATACGGCGTGAAACGAAAATGCTACAACTTTAATGTCCCTGTATGATTACATGCACAATCTTGACAAATTAGTATTTTATCTTTATTCTTCCAATCTAAGATACGTTTGGATTATTTTATTATGCATCTTGTAGCTGTTGAAGTCGCCAAGTATCATTTGCCACGGTGGTTCATCGCATGTGGCAAAGTTGTTTGTATAATTTTGAACAATGGCTACAATTTTGTGTTACGTGGACTCCTTGAAAGGGCATCGACATCAACACAATAATCATTCTTGTAATCGCTCTCACTACCTTGCCACTGTACTGGATTACGGAACAGTAGAAGCCACTTTAGGGATGCAAAATCAGTTTGAAAAAGAAACGAACTTTTGACGATACATATATTTGAGAAAATGTATAAAATAAGCCTTCACTACACCTAGAAGTTCTCTTCTAGTAACGCAGTAGTTTCTTTCTGGTTTTAACAAGAGTTCGCTGAAATAAGCAAGACATTTTCTTATCCATCTTAAATTCGAAAAAGAACGGATCCAAGTGTATCGTTGCTGGAATCCGTATCCTAAATGAAGTTTCCTTCCTGTCTCGGGTAGCTTAGCATCAGTGAACTGATAAGATTTTTACACTCATTTGATCATTTCATACATATTCTTTGTTCTCTTCAGTTAGTTTGTGACATTAGCAATTCATTTGACAAATTGTCGGTAATATGTGCATAAACCGGCTAGTATCTTTTGGTACGTACCATATTCTAATTGCTTTAACTTTCTGAGGGCCAGCTGTTACACTATTAGTGGATACTATAAGTATCTAACTTCTCTTCGAAAAATGTGACCCTTTTTTGCGCTTCTTAGAATGTTGTTGAATGATCTTCCAACTTACAAAGTTTCCTATCAGTGTACACTATGATTTATTTATTAAGGATAAAAATTAAATAAAAACAAAATAATTCCAACACGTTTTAATATCACTCTCTTGTAATAAACATTGGAATTCAAACTATAGGGAATACTATTAAACATTACGAAACTAAAAAACACAACACAACTTGCAATCTTAATATAAAATCCTACGAGTTCATAACGACAAATATTAAAATTGGCACTCAATTTCATATTTTTTTGTATGAAAAACACTTGTAAATGTGACCAAGAATCTATTTGAGCTTTCAGAAGGATAGGCCAGTATATGTTTACAATTTCAACATGAAATAATAATTTGAAAACAATTTTAGCACATTTTGATTAAACATACAAATATAAAACTTCAATTTAACAATCATTGGCGGAAAATACATATTTTATATTTTTTACCTACTTCGTTGCATGTCATCAGTAACAAATCTATGCAGAGATTGTTGTCTCTAATCGAGAAGCTACACCTTTTACACACAAAAAATCTAATATGTACCTTTGGATTTTTTTGTTATATTGGAGGATAAAATAATATTTTCCAAAAAAGTTATTCTAATACGTAAAACAAACAATAAATTTGTCAATTTTATAAAATGGATATAGGATAATCAGAGCTTACACTTTTCATATATGGTCTTGGTAAGTCTATGAAACAGTAATTACAGACTCATATATACAGATGTTTCATCATTTGATTGTTTATTCATATATACAAAATGTTAAAACGAAATAGTCTCTAAGAACTTATAATTGTCATTATTGGTGTTTTGAATAGAAACGATAACAATGAGTAATTATCCTTTTATAATAGAAATAATTCTAAAAATAAAGAAGGATTGCAAAACTAATATGGCACAGATAAATAATATCATGTTATCCACCAGTATATCCAGGATCCTTATACAAAGGTACACCAAACGCCAATTAAGGTGAGATGCGCGAAATGAGGCATTTTCGTCTGTTACCAGATTCCTCTGACTAGCAAACCGATCGTTAGTATTATTGGCTATTTAGACTTGCCATACTTGAACATACATTGTAAATTATGTACTGTTTAGTAGAAGGTGAACATGCAATGAAGGTTGTAGAAAAATTATTTCACTTTAACAGAAACCAGACTTTGACAATATAATATGCGTCATTAAAGATACTTTACTCTGATTATCGTAATTTTTATGTTTAAGTAATCAAAAATTTCATTGAATCCAAAAGCTCAAGTATCCATAATGAGGAACTTATTGCCAATATTGTATGCAAAATATTTTGTACATTAACATTGAAAAAGTTATTTTAATACAGAAACAAAAAAATTATAATTTAAGAAGTAATAATCTCGAATTATTCACAAAAAATAAACAATTTAAAGATGTTTACTTAAAAAACTTATCAGAAACAAAATTTTTGAATTTTTAAGATTATTTAGTGATAACAATAGCACAGTTATCATTGCAAATTTAATTTTTAACTATTTTTTTTTAATTATCCCATTTAAATATTATACTAATATTTTTAGAGTGTATTATTTTTAACTGTTGTTCTAATTAGTGAATATTTATTTGAAACCTTTTATGATTTTTTTATCCATAATAATTAAAAAAAAAATAAGTAGTATGAATAAATACAGATGAAAACCGAAAGGATGGTGTTATAAAATACAGCACAAAGTGAATTATATCTTACAAAAAATAGATACGGCATGTTACTGGTTTTTTGGTACATTCAACATTCAAGAAAAGTCTTAAATTTTCCATTTTTCACAGAATATAAAAAGAAATGATTCTACTGTGTTACGAGTAAAATATATTATTTTTTTAAGAAATAGTCATTCAGTTTGAAATGTATAAAACGTTTAGTGTAAACTAAAAGATCTTAATTCACAAACTTTTAAAATGAGAAGAAATCACGATAATTATGTGAATATGAAGAAATCAAATATAATAATTTTGTGAATATGGAGAAACTGATTCACTCTGTAGGGGGAAAATTAGTTACAAAACAATACCTGGGTAAAGAGAAAAAAAAATTCTCAACCGTAAAATAATCTCAATGTTCATAATAACATCCTAAAAATATATACCTGATAGTCATGAATTTTTGCAAGTAGCCTCTACTACCTGCGGCTGTAAGCTATTATATCAGATTCTATCTAATATAAAAATCATAAGAATGTAACTGTAAAATCAGTTACATTCTTTTAACTGCCATATACTACTAGATACTATACACAATCCTAAAATATTACTATCAGCAGAGACATGCTGTACCACATAGATTTGCAAAATGCGAAAATTTATATCACAAAGGAAATATATTACCTTGGATATGGGGAAGAAGAAATTTGAGAATAACCAGAAATTTAATGACCCATCTGAACAAGTATCTTTAACTTTACCCATCTTTAACTCGTATTATTTAGAACAAAAAATTACTGTTCAACAGTATTTATGTCAGTAAAAAAATCGTAAAATCTGTTAAAATTATTTCAATAATTAAAAGGTTCAAAAATGGACAAAAATTTCATTTGGCAATTATCGTTTACTAGCAAAGCATTTCTTCTTAAAACAATTGATAAATATTCATATTTTCTTGAACTTGTTTTATAGTCATTTATTACATAATTAATATCTTACATAGCTTATAAATAACAATTATTTCAAATTGATCTGAAGAAATATTAATATCAACCCTTGCATAGAATACCATAGTAACTAACATTTTTGGCAATTTTAAGTTACAGTGTTCTTGTACAACTTTTTATGCACTATTCACCAATATGGTCAGTGTGGCTGTAACTGCATTTACAAGAAAAATTCCGAATGGAGTAATACTGTAAATAAAAAAATGTTATAAATAGCACTGTTTACAATTTTATTGTTACTAAGGTTTCAAAAGGATATAAAAACTTTATATTTTATAGTAATATTTATTGTGAAGGATAAAACCGAAATAGTATATGTATAATGCATTTTTTTGCAACTGAAAACTTTTCTATAAACATAACGCACACCTATTTTCAGGTAATTATTCCCAAAATGAAGGAGATTCCATGCACACCCTAATAGATCGACATAAAAAGAACAAAACAGTTTTTATTCCCGAACAACAGATGAGCTTAGTATGATAAGAAAAACAACATTTAAATCATATTGGGTAACTGAATTGCCATAAAGACAATATATTTGATTTTAAAAAACTTGTTGTAAATGCAGTTATAAGATTATTCTATGAAACATTACATTTATATTAAAAATTCTAACTTGACACAGTTCAAAAACTATCCCTAATCAAAAATAGTAGATCTTATTCTAAAAGAGGACTTCAATATTTATATAAATACTTACTTCTTATACTGAAAAAATGTCACATTCATATAAAAAAGTAAATAAAAGAAATTGGTATCTGTTTTTATCAGTTCTGAAGAAAATCTTAAGTGCTGGTTAAGTTATTCTTTGCAAGGGTCAATATAAAGAATACTAACAATAAAAGGGATCACTAAATTCATATATTTTAATTCCATCACTACATAGTAATAAAGGATACATACTTAATTAAACCAAAATTGGAGATTCTACTTTTAATTTGGAGAAATGTTTTTAGTCCCACATCTAAATATTTTGGTTTAAATAAGGCATAAGGTATTTACTAACACCACCTTTTCAAATTAATATTTAGGTAACAAACATTTTCTTTAATCAAAATGAAAAATTAAAAACACAGTTTACACATACTGGCCTAAGGGGAAGCAAGGCACCATTGGTTTGTGACTATTAAGTACAATGCAGACATCATGACTATACTTGAATATCATTTCGTTCTTTTTCACGTTGTCGGACAGCAACCGCAGTCTCAACAAGCAAGTATAAGCACTTAAACTTATCCTTGTCTTCATCAGTGGCAAGAGGATCTGCTTGAATCAGATCATTGACAGGATGTGCAGGCATTACTTGTACTTTTGGAGCTGAAAGTGTGTGAGTCATTTGGGTCAATTGGGGATTCCAATAATCAGTGCTGCCAAAGTTTCCTTCATTATTTCTAAAAAAAAAGAGATTAACATTTATACAACTTTATTTGTATTTTTAATTTGTTACAAAAACATTATTTGAAATATGTACCATTCAAAATAAAATTCACCTTTAAACAAAAACTTCTTGAATATAATATAATGTAATAATTAAAAGAAAAATACCTTTAAAAAAACAAAGCTGAATATACACAACAGAGCAATATAACACAGTGGTCATATATGAAATGAAGATTACAAAACTTTGGATAGAATTTAAAATTAATTTTAAGGAATTTTAAAGAGAAAAATGAAGAAAAAATTGTACCTAGAAGTAAAACAATATATAGCTTAAGAGAATATAATAGAAGCAACTATAAAAAAAAGAGACCAATTAAGAGATACCATCTTATTTTGACTTTAAGAATAAAATGAAATAAAAACCAAATTACCCTCTAATAGCAGGATGGTTAGCTTCATTTTGTACTCCATATCTTATAACTGTCTGCCAAGAAGCAAATTTCTCCTCTTCACTGGGACTAGAACTCTCATATTCATTAGGACTATCTTCTTCAGAACGATACATCAATGTCATACTGTCTTCATAGTCATGATCAAGTCTTATGCGCTTTCCTCTAGTGATAGATTGTATATCTCCATGCCAATTTACTGGTGGCTGCTCACCAATTCCATTTACACTACTCAATTTCTTACCTCTTCTAGATATTGTATAGTGATTTGGATCATGACCTTCTCTTCTAATCATCTCTGGCAATATCCTTCTTCTTGCATTGATAAACCAGTTGCAAACCTACAATAAAAATAAATATGAACTATTACCACCATCTTAAACATTTTAAAATACATACTTAACAGTTTTATTATTTAAAATGTGAAATTTAAGTTTGAAATTTAAAATCAGATAATATATGCAATTTTTTAACATAATAAATATATACAGAATAAGTGGTTCCCTAAAAAAACAATGAATATATTTTAAAGATTTGAACAAAAAAGAACTCTACACAAAGTGTATATCTTCAACTAAAAACAAACTAATCACTTTCACAATAAAAGTACTATATTGTGAAACAGATTTTACTATATTGGACAATTATGTAAAAACACAGAATTAAATCAAGGAACATTTACTGAAAGTTATCAAATGTATTTTTAAATCATATTATATACAAAATCTTACAAGTTGTGTTGGATTATGAATTTAACACGCTACGATAGAGAAATAGTAAATAAAAGAACAATTTACCATTTAAAGTTATTTCTTCTAAATAAGCAATATGATAAATCTTACCTGCAATACAGTAAGATTGGCTTCTTGTGAAAGAGTCAATTTTTCACCATCAGTTGGATAAGCATTGTAGCGATGGTCATACAACCATCTTTTCAAAATTTTAACTGAATGTTTAGGCAAATTCCCCCTCCGTTTCCTTACAGGAGTACCCATAACATGGTTAACCATTGCAAGTTGATTTTGTGAAATAAGCTCCTCATGTTCCTGCTCAGATCCAGATTCATTTTCATCTGTACTGCTCCCAGATTGGAATCTTTCCCGATCTATGAAATAATTAATTAATGGATCCATTTTCAAAACTATAAAATGTTATTTTAGAGAAAATGCAACCTGAATAAATAAACTTTTCATGACAACCTAAAACAACAGTCAGACAATTGAAACTGACAATGCCTTCTTCATCAAACTCTTTCTCTTTTATTTAATGAAATAAGTAATAGTTAATACTAACTAATGGCATAAGGGTAAGTGATGATCAAAAGTTGTAATGAAATAAACTATACTACCTTGGAATATGAATAGAAAAACCATGTGCTTTAAAAATAAAAGATAGTGTTCTTTAATGACACTAGAACTATATTTTTGGTATAAAGATATTAGGCATACATGTAACCACCGAAATAAATAAGTATAATCCGATAATCCATATGCACGGTTAAGTAAAAAGTTTCTTAATGATAAATTTGCACATACTCAGATACAAAGTTCTAAAGGGTTAAATTCTTAGTTAAAACACTTTATCTAATATTAGACAATGTTAAATTATTTGAAACAGAAGACTACCATCGTTAACAAATATTGTACAATTTATTACCGCTTTTAAATGTGCAATAATCCATATCCATAGTAGTTAATTTATATACTTAATAAAATATCCCGAACTTTTTAACTTTTTTAAATAAAAAGCACGTTTAGATGACAGTAAAACTGACACATGACAGAAATGGCTACCTCGTGGTCGCTTGGAGAAGAACCGCTAATATATAGTAAACAAACAAACAAGACCTGATTTCTCGAAATATAACTTACAAAGTTGTCGGCAATTGAAATGATGTAAAACAACTATCTGAACTATTTATACTGACTTTTAATTAGAATAATAAACGTATACTTACGAACTTTCATCTTTATAGTTGACAGGTCAAGCTAACTTAAATATTTACGTAATAAGAGATGCTTTCTTTTAAATGACAATAAAAAAACTCTTCTAAAATGTCACTCAATAAAGAATTAACTTGCCAAATGGGTTTACTTCTTTATTGTTGACTTTTGTAAGTCTGAAGCCAATAATAGTAAACACACTCAAAACACTTTTTTGATACTGAAAACTGTAACAACTATTATTGTATTACATATCTGAAAGATAAATAGAAGTTTATCGCTAATTATAGAAGGAATTAAACTTGTATTTATAAAAAAATCACTTTTAAAACAAAACTGATTGTCACGCGTGCTACAACTTGACAGTTTATATGGCGGTCTAATTGATAGACGTCAATACGCAGGTCACAGATTTATTATTCAATTTGATCATTTTGATTGGTTAATTCGAAGAATAATGGCGGAAGCTAAACTTTCGTGAATAATCGGCGGTAAATTTTAAAAACCAACCTTTGACATCGTTATCTCTCGAAATAAATTAATGGTGTTTTATTTTACACATTTTGTGAGTTTATAGTTGAAAAGCTACCGGTATTATGTAAAAAAATACAATTTATCGAAACAAACAAATAATATTATATTTATTGAATGTGTTTATTATAATCTTATCTAATTTTGAAGACAGGGACGAATTCAGGGATTGTTTCCCGAAAAAGAAATTTAAGAAAATTCATGTAAATATCTTTGTCGATAAATATTATCATGTTAAGTCAAATATTATATAATATTTGATATATGGTATATGGTGCATCGTTTGCTGTATATAAACATTTGATCTGTAATAGGAGTATAGTAAATGAAGGAATGTATCAATATTTTAATGAAAATATATATTTTTATTTTCATATATGTATAAAAGGAGTTGAATGCAAAAAAAATTTTTTACACATACTCTGTAGTAAAATTCATTGTTTATTTTGTTATTAATATAAAAATTACAATACAATAAATACACTGCAACATAATTCAATATAATAATACAATATAAATTAAAATGTAATATTTATAAGTATTTAAAACTGTCAATATACATAACTTACTTTACGAAGATAAAAATAAAAACCAACAACTTGGATTATGTTGTCAATTTTAATTTTTTTATTTTAAAATTTAGCATTTTTGCGTATATTACATGTATTTAATAAGATTAACGTGAGGTTTTTAAATATTTAAAAAATAAAAAGGAAATTCATAATTGGGATTCGAACTCACAAACACCAGCGTATGAACCAAACGCGTAAAGGATTTGCCAATTAGACATGACACTAACGGAATTAAAAATTGACAGTTCTCGGTCAAACAGTGATTATTTTGAAATACAAAAGCCTAAAATAATTACAAACGTTTAATAAATAATACAAAACATATCACATAAATAATAATATTAATACATATTATAATATATATATATATATATATATATATATATATATATATATATATATATATAATATATATATATATATATATATATATATATAATATATATATATAATATATATATATATGTATAATATATATTAATAATATATTATATAACATATATAATATTAAATATATATACAAAAGGAACATTTTATATATCTCGAGAGAGGAAGAGAGGAGAAAATATATCTTCTGTCTCTCTCTTACTCATTATCTTACATATGTAATGGTTTCACAGATTCACTCTCATGCAAATTTCCAACGCCGACCGTGCGTATAGAAGTATAACTTCAAAAATAATTTTAAATCCATCAACCCTATAAGCAGGAAGTTAGACAAAATATTTCTTTCAGATGGCATAGGGATGATAAAAATATTCAAAGTATTGTAAACAGCGATGGTACAGAAAAAAATGATGGCAATTTTAGACCATTGTTTAGGATAAATACTGGCGATAATGATCTGCGAAAATATTTAGAAACTGCTGCGGCTAATGCTACATTAATAAGTAAAACTACTCAAAATGATATCATTTCTTGGTGTAAAGAAAAATGTCTGCGATATCTTCATTTAAATGAGATTAGAGAAGATTTCATTACATTTGTTAACGCCTACGATTCGATTCGAGAAGATGTCGTTTCAAAAGGAGAACGCCGCTTAACTGGAGTTGCTTTAGGCCATATTGTTGAAGATTCCGTAAAGAATTTTAATTTAGATTCAAATTTTTGCGTAGGTTTTGGTGTCGACAGTTGCTCAGTAATGGCATCCGAAACGAATGATACCGTTAACGAATTAAAAAAATTGGCCAAACATGCTGTGCGTTATCCAAGAAGCAATCATATTTTGAATAATTTCTTGGCAAGAAGAATATAACTCAAAAGTTATATCATGTTGTAATATTTCAGGAACTATGATAAAAGTAATAGCTTTTGCTAATGCCTCTCCAAAACGACATGTTGTTTTTAAGAAGGAACTGGGGGCTCCTATCCAAGGTGTTTGTGAAACTCGTTGGGTTGAAAGGCATGAAGGTCATCTTCAGTTCCAGGGCGAATCAATCATCAAAATATACAACAATTTCTGCGTGGAAGGACAGTAAAACGTCAACTGATGCATTTTCATTAATGCAAAGTATTAGGAGCCCAGAATTTCTCATTTCAGTAGTTTGCCTAGTGATGTTTTAGGTACAACTGTATCATTTAGTCGTCTTCTTCAGTCACCAAAATTTCAGTCAATAGATTTGAAGAAGGCTACTAAGGCCATAGAGGAGGAAAAGATTAAATGATGAATTCGTTTTTAGCAAACTTTACTATGAAGTTAAGGAAATAGTTGAACAACTAGACATTGAATTGAAGATGCCCCGTATAGTTTCTCGTCAAAACCAACCTGCTAACTCTTGTGAAGAATATTTCCAAAGATCTATTTATTTACCCGTTTTAGACAATATCTTAACTGATTTAGAAGAACGACTTTCACCGGAAGTTATGAATCTATTTAATCTTCGCGTTGTTTTACCTAAAACTGATAGCACCTAGAAGATGCATTAACAAAAATTATTGACGCCTTCCAGGATATTATTGGACCATCTACTGCATATTCGACAGTAGAACAAGAGTTTTCACAGTGGATTCAAAAGTGGAAAAAATTTGTGCAAAATAATTGAAAACTTCCTGATTTTATTTTATAAGTATTAGAAAACTGCGATATTCATATGTATCCAAATATCAGAATATTTCTGCAAATATTAATTACAGTGCCAGTCAGTGCAGCAACAGCAGAGAGTAGTTTTTCTACGCTTAAGCGTCTAAAGACTTGGCTTAAAAATAGAACTTCGGAGGAAAGGTTAACTCGTTTAGCACTCATCAATGTGCATCCTGAAATTTCTCTAGATATTGACGCAATCATAGAGCGATTTGCTAAATCGGATAGGCGAAAAGAATACATTTTATAAAATTATATAATATTTACTTATCTTATTTTTATAGTATTTTTAATCACTGAACTTTTATTTTTTACCACTCGTTGCCGGCTCTTGTTGACAATTCGTGAGAAAAATTTCAATACCCAGTAAAAAAATATTTCACTCACTTGTAGCCTAATATGCCTAATTATAGAAATAACTATTCTCAAATTATATGATGTTTTTGTTGAATAAATTAATTTAAATAAAATGCTGTTTACACTTCTTCTCAAGGTTCCTTCTTAATTACAGAAGGGTGGCTATAACTACAGCAAATTGCTCTCTATCTTAAGCTGTTCTTAGTGTCGAATGTGTGTCCATACCTGTCCAGTCTCTTACACTCGTCAGCCAGGAGCATTTTCTTCTTCCTGGACCTCTTTTTCCTTCTACTTTCCCTTCCATTTTGAGTCGTAGAAAGTGATATTTTTCTCCTCTGTAAATATGTCCTAGATAACTCGTTTTTCTGTTGTCTACAATATTTAGGAGTTCTTTCTCAGTCCTCATTCTTCCCAGTACCTATCGTTGTTGGTCACGTGCTCTGTCCACGAAATCCTCAGCATCCTTCGAAAAACACACATTTTAAAGTTTTCTGTACGCCTCATACTTGTAATTCCGAGAGTCCATGTTTCCACTCATAGCAATAAGGAATAAATTAATGTTTTTACAAATTAATATCGGATATCCGACGATAAGATAGAGTTTATTAGGAATGTTTAATACATTAATTAACGTTTACGCTTACATTGAGTTATTGCATTTAAATTACTTAACTTTAGTTTAAACTTATTTATCCTTGATTTGTTCTTGATTTTGTAGCCATATGATAGGTGGGTTTAAATTAATTGTCTTTAAAATACCTAGTTTAAATTGACAGTCCTTGATTTTTCAGTATTTATGTTTTAATAACTTTCCTTTGTTTAATAGTATTGTACAATTAATTTTACTGTAAAGAGTATGTGGTTTTAAATTATTTTTTTTTGTTTAAGTTAAAGACCCCTTAATGTTGTACCCTTCTTTGCAACCGTAGGGTATTTCTCATTGGTTTAATATATCGCTTAAAATAATTGTTGAGAAAATGGTTCCCTTACATGAGACACAAATCATATCAAAATCACCCTCAAGAAGACCCATGACCCCCCGCCGATAAAAATTTCTGGATCTGCCACTGATTCTTTAGCTGATTCGTAAATTATTTACTTTCATTTTTCATCTAGTGACCCTCTTATTTATCCTTTTTGTATTTCTGCATCTGGTGTTTTTATTATTTCCGCTTTTATTTATCTATGCTGTGTGTTCAGTTCTGCTTTATTTGTTACTTTTACTTCTTTTGTCATCGTTTCTAGCTCTTGTGAATATATTATGGAAATAATGTAATCTATGATGCTTCTTGCTCCTC